GACCTAGGTAATAAATAGGTTATTAAAGCTAGTATAATAGCCTAACTCCTTAGGGTTATTCTTAATTAGAATCTTATCTTTAAGATATATCTCTAGTATATTAATAATGTAGCTACCTAGTACCTCTAGGCTATTAGTATACTAGATAGCTCTAAATAGGGCCTATAGCTCTAGGAGCTTTAGTATATATATACTACCTATATTATCCTAATTATGCTATATACTACCTCTATATAATATATACTACTAGTCTGGGGCTAGAAGCACCTCTATAGTTAGTAGATAAAGGTATTAAATTAAATCTAATATTAGGCTAGTAAGCTAATTATAGGGGCCTTCTAAATAGTTAGTAGGGCTATATTTAATACTAAATTATATCTTACCCTAATATTACTACTCCTCTAATAATACTATATCTAAATCCTTATCTAAATTACTACTACTCTAGCCTATTAAATATATATTCTTAATTATTACTAATACTACTAGAATCTACTTTTACACTTACTGCTGAAAACTATAGAAGAAGAAGTTAAATTAATAACTAGTATTAATTCTAGAGAGCTAGAGATATACTTACTATAGGTAGTACCCCCCTAGTAGGAGCTACTAGAGGTAGTAATTAAGAAGATAAAGAAGTAGTTAATAATCTACTATAATATTTATTATATTACCTACCTAGAGGCTATTTAGATCTATACTAATAGTTCTAATATCTATAGATAGATAGGCACTACCACAGTGTGCCTAGATCCCCCTATCTATTAATAATATTACCTAGGGACAGATGTTAAGCATATAGTGCTAGTTATAGAGATTATAGGGTTAGTACTAGCCCTATAGCTTATTAAGTAAGATCTAGTACTATATAATCTCTAGTAGGTACTACTAGCTTCCTATAGCTAATAGAAGCAGGCTAAGATTTATTCTAATAACTAAGGTATACTATGCATATTACTTACTCTAAAGCAGGGCTCTAGCTAGTATCTAGTTTAGGAGATAGTAGACTTACTAAATTAGCTAGATCTAGTATTAGATATATTATTCTACTAGCTAGCAGCACACTATGGGGTTACTAGTAATAAGCTAGTAAACTAGAAGATAAAGGAGGTAGCTAGATAGTAATAGAGTATTATAGAGGGTAGTATAGGCCCCTACTACTAGTTATACTCCTAGATTACCCTATATAGGGCCCCCTAGATACCTAGATTAAATAGTATACTAAGGAGTAATAGGAGGAGGCCTAGTAGTAATCTAAATATAGTAGATACCTCTAGTATTATCTCCCTAAGGTCTCTAGGTATTTATTTATTATCTATAATAATCTTACCCCTATAGAGTATAGTATTCTAGCCTAGATATATACTAGAAAGATTAGGCTAAATTACTACTTCTTAAGTATTAACTAGACTAATAACCCTCTCTGCCCATGTAGGCAGGCCCTAGAGATAATTTACTATATACTATTTAGTTATACCTAATATAATAATCTTTAGTAGATAATATAGACTAGTATAGAAGGGACCCTCTAAGACCTAATAGAGACCTTAATAGAGAAGTAGTATATTTAATAAGCTATATAATTTATATTAAATACTAGCTAATTAATATATCTAGTAGAAGCTACTAAGCTAGTATAGCTTAAGCTAACTACCCCTAGTAGTAGGTAGCTACTAATAGCCCTAGTAGATAATAGCTAATAAATTATTATTATATACTATTATATACTACTAGTTACTCTTATTAGTATAGTACTACTACTCATAGCCCTGGCCTATATATCTATATAATACTAGCTTACTAATCTAGCACCTTTCAGTGATGGCACCCCTGGAACTCTTATAAGCTTAGGAATCTATAGTATTCTGAATAGGTTAGCAACTATCTTAGGGGGAAATAGGCCTATATAGGCACCTAGGCAGGTATAGAGGCTTTAGAAGCTAGTAATTTTAGCCTTAGCTAGAATAGATAGAATAATAGGGAATTAAGGTAGTAGTACTTATTAATTTCAGCCCTAGCTAGAATAGATAGATCTATAGGGAGTTAGGGTGGCAGCACTTACTGATTTTAGCTAGGGCTAAAATAGGGGCATCTATAAGGGAATCTATAGGGGGTTCAGCCTAGCCTAGGTGCCTAAGATATATATAGATATTTATGTACACTAGCAGTATTAGTCTGGAAGGACAGTTATTGGTTGGATAGTCACTGCTCACTAGGAGCCTCCGACATGGCCTAGCCCAGTGCTGAAATGGAGTAAGGAATAAATCAATCAATCAATCAATCAATCGAATCCCAAAATGGGATGGGAAATTAATATGGGATACCCATTTCCCAATGGGAGGGAATTTCCCACAGGATTTCCCTGTGAGAACCCCATGCTAGGCTATGGAGGCATTCCCAACTGAGGCAAAAGACCTACTATGATTGACCCCTTGGTCAATCATGCCTGGCCTCTATATATATAGTGCCTAACATTCCCTCCCACACAGCCAGCCTAAGTAAGAGAGATAAGCTATATAAGTAAGAGAGAAGAGATAATTAAGATAGAATCTAGTAAGAGAGATGAGCTATGTAAGCAAGAGAGGAGAGATGATTAAGGTAGAATCTGGCCATTTCTATATTAGTTACTAAGTTAGGAGGCTCTGGTTATCTGGTAGCAAGTTAGGTAATTAGAAAATCTATATACTCTAATTAGTTAGATAAAGAAAGCTCGCCTTCCAATTAGCTATAATAGGTACCCACTTTTGTCATATATATTTGTCAGATAATATTTTAAAAAATAGGCCTTGTCATGAATTTCTGACATTTAGATGAAAATTTTTGAAATACACCATCCTTAGCTAAGCCCTGGAGGAAAATTAAGATATGTACTGCCTACTCCCAACTAATATCCATTAGAAACCCAGAGCTCAAGCTACATTGCCATTACGTACACTTCTTCCGTTATTTTTACCTAGGTCAGGCTGTCAATCCCTTATGGGCCAATCTCAATCTACCAATTTTCAGGATAATGCATATTCTGCTGAACCTTCGTCCAAAGAGAGGAAAGAAGATTATTATGAACTCCTGGGGATACAACATGACGCCTCCACAGATGAGTGAGATTGTAACTCTATTATAACCCGCCATGCGCCTGTTAGGCTGACATCCTTCTCTTCGAATCTCATCAAGAATAAGAAAAGCATACAAAAGAAAAGCTCTCGAGCTGCACCCGGATAAAAACTACGGCAATGTCGAAGCTGCAACGAAACTGTTTGCAGAAATCCAAACTGCATATCAAGTTCTCTCAGATCCTCAGGAGCGCGCATGGTATGATACTCACAAAGATGCATTTTTGAGTCGCGATGGGCAGCCAAGTAGTAGCGAATACTGTTATGATAGCCGTATGACAACCTCTGGTGACATATTGCAGCTGTTCTCCAAGTTCAGTCCTCGAATGGAATTTTCGGATTCTCAATCTGGATTCTTCGGCGGCCTTCGAGCGGTATTTACACGGCTTGCCCTCGAGGAAGAAATGGCATGTCGCGCAGACAAATTGGAGTTTGTCGACTATCCGACTTTTGGGTCACAAAGTGATACTTTTGAAGACGTCGTACGGCCATTCTATGTCGTCTGGAGTAGCTTTTCAACCAAGAAATCTTTCGCCTGGAAAGATATTTACCGATATTCCGAGGCTCCAGATCGTCGCGTGCGCAGATTGATGGAGAAGGAAAATAAGCGATTGAGGGAGGAGGGGATCCGCGAATTTAACGAAGCTGTCAGATCGCTTGTGGCTTTTGTTAAAAAGAGGGATCCGCGCTATAAAAGTGGCATCCAAAGCGAAGCCCAGCGCCGGGAGCTCCTCCGTCAAACTGCCGCTGCACAAGCTGCCAAATCAAGAGCAGTAAACCAAGCAAAGCTGCGTGAGCATGTTATACCTGACTGGGCGAAGTCAGAAGAGGCTGAGGAAGCGAATCCGGATAGTTCGGGATCTGAACTCGAGCAGTTCGAGTGCATCATTTGCCGGAAGGCTTTCAAGAGCCTGAACCAATTCAACGCGCACGAACGTAGCAAGAAACACGTCAAGGCCGTCAAACAGCTTCGCTGGGAGATGAGAGCAGAAAATGAGTCGCTCAATCTTGATCAGTATATGGCGCCGTACAGTGACCATGCTCAACTAGAGCAATGCAACGACGACTCAGCAGCTTCCTTCTTCAGCCATGAAGACAGTGGTAAGGTCCAAAGTGGACGCAATGCTGATGCTGATCAAAACATTGCACCCATCATGGAAGACACGCAAGAGGAAAGTCGCCGCGAATTCACGGAAGCTGATACGATATTTCCTGCGACACATACTAGCCACGTGTCGAGCGAAACCATTCTGAATCCTACAGGCTCGGACGATGTCTTTGAGACGGCAGACGATGCTGTTGATTTACTATCTCAAGAATTGTCAGCCTCTGGCTTGGGTCAGAGTCCATCGACTGATGTCAAAAAAATTGGCAAAGCCAAACAGAAACGCGCTCGAAAGGCGGCTCAGCAGGCTCTCGGTCACTCTCCCGAATTGATTTGTACCACCTGCAAGGCTGCGTTTCTATCCAAAACCCAGCTTTTTACACACTTGAGGAAGTATGACCATGCCCAGCCCCCAATCAGGTAGCAAAGACTAGCATTTGAACAAACCCTTTATGACCTAGGTGACTGGTATTTATCTTTTATCCACTCGTTCCTTAAACCATCTCATAGTGAAAGGAGATATGTTGAAGTAGATGCCACAAACAATCATGGTTTTGCGGGTAATCATAGTCATAGATACAATAATTGCCTTGTTGTACCATAAAGTATTCTAACAGGGACACTTCTCAGGTTCGTGCCATTCATCATCCCATGAACGGAGTTTTGGAAGTGCGACAGGCTTGTTGAGTGTTGGAATCTCTATCATCGTTGCAGGTCCACCACTTAGCCTTAGAAAGACAACCATAGGAGATGCAACTAGGGATTGTAGGATCTCTCGAAACTATCTACCCCAGGCCAGCCTTGGAATTCTTCACGACGTGCGCAACAGGTAACAGAATGCCTTTGTTGTTTATGGCACCGAGTGGAGTCCCCAAACTCCATCCCATCCTTTCGAGCATAGCTCTTCCCTTGTTTTCCGCTCCAATTTCCGGTGCTGAGGCCCCAACGACGTCGCCTTCCATATAGCTGACAGATGATGTAGGGCGACCACGAGAAGCCTTCGCCGGTTTCTTGTTGTTCTGGGACCGTGACTTGGGGCCACGGTGAGAGAATTGAGACTTCGATAATATCCTTTCCACCTGTGTGATCGTTTTCTGTGTATGCCTTGGTGTGCGGGAAGTCTTGTACAGCATGGGAAATCTGGACGACCCTTTGCCGCGGGACTGTGATTTGAGTGACAGTGCGCCTGCCATGTCATGCACAACCTTCCTGTAATGTTTAGACATGGGTGGAAGAGACAAGCTGAACAAAGTCTGGGTTTCAGCACTCTAGTTTTAAAAACTTTCAATAGCGGCTGCAGGGAAACTCGTACCTTTCTTTCGATGATAGCAAGAAACTGCGCATTTCCGATTTCAGATCATCGACATCGAAGCCACTTGAATACTTAGCTCTGAGATCCGGCGCATTTGCATTCCGACCGAGTAGGCCTCCAGCACGGAGCTCTTCTCTCTTCTGTTTTCTTGTCTTTTTCTTCTCTCTATCATTTCGCCATGCCCGTTCCAATTGCAGTTCCAGCTCGCTATCGGATAATGACAGATCAAAAGCACGTTGCTTCCCTTTTGTTTTGTTCAGCAGGCTGGGTCTGTTGAAGTCCATTATATCGAATCCATAAAATGGGTCCGATTCCAATGCATCAGCAAAAGCGGCTGCCGAAGCGAAATGATTTTCCTTTGCTTTGCTGCGGTTACGGTGCGACCGAGACAGACACATGCTCTCTGTCTCGATCTCCAAGTCCTTGCCGATTTCCTTCGTTTCGGTGTCACTGCATTCGGAAGAGCTCGGGGAGCTATGTGCCCCGTCCGTCGAACTGGTGCAAAGTACCGCAAATCCATTCGATTTAGCAGTAAATCCTGGTGGCTTCAGCATGGGATAAGTGTTTGGATGCAGTTGACTGGGCATACCTCCGGAAGCCAGACCAGTGTCACTCTCATCTTCACATTCAGCCAACATTTGGCCGCGTACGCATGGAATTATTTCCTCCCCATTGTTTGGTGGCTCGGAACAATTGGCATTGACCAGTTCAGCGGAGACACATGTAGACGCCGGTCTGTCCATTTGACCGTTGTCGGACTCCGTGCTTGTACTGCGACACAAATCAGGCCACTGACAGTAGTCTTCGTAGTCATCGTCAATGTTCGCTATGTAATCGGCCAATATGTCATTTTCTTCGTCTTCGCGAAGTCTCGAATATTGCTCCCTAATTGATGGGCGTCTGGAATTGAAGGGTATAAAATCAACAATCTCATCGATGGCACGTGGTTGGATTCGCTCGGTTCGCTCTGGCAAGGTCGATTTTGTGGCATGCAGTAGGTCTCCCGACGCGTTTTCTGCTGAGTGACATGATTGTGTCGGTATTTTGTGGCTGTGATGTTGTAGCCAAGGCTGCGTTGAACCGTTATTCCGCGGGCTACATTCGTGTCCTCTGCAATAGTCGGAGATTCCATGCTCTTTTTGACGAGCGGGGCTCCTAGCGTTGTGCTGCCTGGATGGCCTTGATATCGGAGATCGGTTTCTGTCTGATGGTCCTCGAGCGTACTTTGTTTTAAGGTGCCGTCCAGTAAACACTATTTCATCCTCGCTGGTGTTACCCCCTCCGGGGGTGATGTGGTCTATATGCTCGGTATCCGTGGGAATCTCCCCATCTGGTGAAATGATAGTAGGGTGTGGATATCGCATGGACTCTCCGTTGCATTGTTCTGGGGGGAGTTTAGGTAGGGTCATTTCTATTCCCTTGTGTTGCATGTCCAAACTTTCCAGTTTTTTCTCATTGTTTTCTTGTAGACCTGCACTCACAAATTGCACTGCCTGATGACGGAAATTAGTACCCATCCGCCATATATTGCGCACCTCGGTGTTTCGTGCTTCTTGCTGCATGGAGAGCTGGGGATGCCTGTGGGCTGCAACAAGTCAGTTGGTTATGGTTGGTCGGCTATATGTAGGGTGATGGACCTGTGTGTGATGTCTTTGTCACGGCCTTCTGGTTGCTCGTGCGTACTTTCGCCCTGCTGTGGCGAGCCATGTCTTCCACCCTTTTTGCCTTCGCGGCAATATTACGGTCTTGGGATCGATTCTCTGGGTATGCCCTCTTCGGTTCAATATCGATGCCCCCTTTTACTCTGAGTAGCACGCTGGCATTGTAGGTTTCCTGTGCAGCACTCCACACAGTTGTTATGTGTTGAAAAAATTCGGTCTGCTGGGTTGTTGGAACTTGGTGGAGTCAAGACTTACCTAGTGACCTAGTCTGTCTTCCGTTGACATTGAAGGCGGTGTATGTGGTGTTGTATGCATGTGACGTGCTTATCGTTATGTCCTTATCTGTGGTGGCAGCCGTCTACGACGGAAGTATGTCATTGGGTTCTCTTCGAGGCTTGTATACCTTTATGGAACGCTACCTATGTAACCATTGTAGGCTTTGTATCCTCACGCGGTTGTTGTTGCGTGTCCTCGTGGTCAGGTAGATGGTCTTGGTTTTTAGACTGTAACATACCACACCCGGTACGGTAGTTGAGAGAGGATTATATATATATATATATATATATATATGCTACACGTATACGACAGTCTCGTGACTGACGTTGTATGACGGAACCCCTCATTGAGACAAAAAGTACTGAGATCATGGTTAACCACAAATCATCATATTAACAACGGATGACCATACACAGTTGTATATCTATTCCCTACACAGCCGCACCGTTTCGACACCAGTAGGTGACTGGGATGAGCCTTTATATACCGAAGTGCACAGGCAGCAAACCAACATTGGCGTGGAACATATACCAACAATATAAAGCAAACTAGTCGACCAGAGCGCCCCAGCACTCCGCAGAGACCGACATACAGGCATTCACAAGTCGCCATTCAAAATGAATGGGGTAGACATGGAGCGCTGCAAGCGAATTATACAGTATATCTGGGACCCTGCACCCAGGAACGACCAACCAGAAGAACCCATCTGGTGTCTGGGAACCAAATATACAACGGATGGTATGGAGAGAGACAATAGGCGCAACGGTAAGCCACGGCCAGATGCAAAAGTAGTTGCCTCTCTTTGGGCTCATGCGTCCATAGCATCGCCCAAATCAATGCGACTGGTGAACGAAGAAGGACCAAGCCAGCTGGTCCCAAAGGCTACAATGCCGGGCCAGTTAGACGAACAGGGCTGGCCTGAATCGTTCCTTCTCGACTTCGAATCAAGGATCTGGATTACCTACAGATCGAACTTTCCCCCAATACCGAAGCCTATCAAACAGGATGCGTACTCCGCAATGACATTGAGCGTGCGATTGAGAAGCCAGCTCGTTGACCAACACGGATTCACATCCGACACAGGATGGGGCTGCATGATAAGGTCAGGGCAGAGCCTCCTGGCGAACGCAATGTCCATATTGTTATTTGGCCGAGGTAAGTAACAACGTCAACAGTTTCACCAATATATCCGGTATCCAAGCCGCAGTGAGCTAACGTGCCTACAGATTGGCGTCGAGGAATCAACACTGATCAGGAGGCTCAGCTATTGTCACAGTTTGCAGATCACCCGGATGCACCTTTCTCAATACATCGATTTGTCCAGCATGGTGCCGAGTCCTGTAACAAACATCCCGGGGAATGGTTTGGGCCCTCCGCGACCGCCAGATGCATACAGTATGTCCCAATCACATTGCCCATTAGCGTAGCTCACATATGAATTTAGGGCCCTTGTGTCTCAACATGGAAGCCTCAACATTGGTGTCTACATGACTGATGATACAGCAGATGTGCATGAAGATAAATTTCTGGATGCTGCCCACGACGAGAGAGGGTCCTTCAGACCGACACTGATATTAATTGGGACGCGACTGGGAATCGATCGTATTACTCCCGTGTATTGGGACGCGGTAAAGACCACATTGCAACTCCCCCAATCCGTAGGAATAGCTGGGTACGTTATCATTTAAAAGACCCAAGATTTCCGGACCAGTGGTGACCAAATCTGCAGTGGACGCCCATCAGCATCGCATTACTTCGTCGGCGTTCAAGGCTCACACCTATTTTACCTTGACCCTCATCAGACCCGCCCAGCGTTGCCACAGCGCAATATCGATGAACCATACACCGACGAAGAGATAGAAACCTATCATACTCGACGCCTCAGGAGAATCCACCTTCGAGACATGGATCCGAGCATGCTTATCGGCTTCATTATAAAAGACAAAGAAGACTGGGCACACTGGAAGAGCGAGGTATCTGTTCAGGGGAAACCTATCGTACATGTGCTCAGCGAATCAGACACTGCTGTATTCCAGGGCCGTGAAGGGGCGATCGATGAGGTAGAGGTCTTGGATGATGAATGAAAGAACACAGCGGATGCTCTGTGTCCCGTGATATGCCAATGGAACCAGAACCAAACGAGCAATATGGAACTGCTATTCAGATTATCCCCAATCGCACCAATTCGAGGCGACTGTCAAGAATATGTTGCATAAGCAAATGAGATTCCGATTTATGGTAGGGGAAGGAAATTCGTGCAACCAGCCCCAAAATCCGAGTTATGTTACACCGCATTCTCGTCGCGAATGAACCATGAACACATTCAACCCAAAAGGGCATCAGGACAGAGAGAGAGAAAAAGAAAGGAAAATATCAAACCATCCCATGACACATTAAAAGATCCTCAAACACCCTGTAACCCACCGCCTCAAAACCATGAAGATAAGGAGGCAGTAAAAATGACAATCCCGAGAAACAAACACAAGGCAAAAGAAGCAAGAAGCGACATGCCTATTTGGCAGAAGAAGAGTACTTCGTGACAGCCTTAGTGCCTTCCGAAACGGCGTGCTTCGCCAACTCACCAGGGAGGATGAGCCGAACACTTGGAAAGAGAATCAGTGTAATTCGTATGGTGGATAAGGGCTTTACTCACGAAGTCTGGATCTCCCTCGACGAGATGGTCGATTTCTTGTTGTAAGCAGCAAGCTTCGACGCTTCCGTGGCGACGCGCTCAAAGATATCTGTAATGGATTAGAATACAATCGGTTTCAAATGTTTTCGAGGTGTTGAAAATACCATTGACAAAAGAGTTCAGGATAGACATGGCACGAGTCGAAATACCAGTGTCAGGATGAACTTGTTTGAGAACTGCACCCTGGTAAGCTTCCGCACCACATATAACTAGTAGTATTACTTACCCTTGTAGATGTAGGAGGAGTAGGTTTCCTTCCTGGTCTTGCCACGCTTCTTCTTGTCGCCAGTGGCAGCAGCAGCGGTCTTCTTGCCCGCTTCCTTTTTCTCAGCAGGAGCCTTTCCAGCGGGCGCCTTGCCACCAGTGCTAGGCTTCTTCTCGGCAGCTTTGGGAGGCATTTTTGTGAGTAGAAGATTATCAAAAGAAGTTATCAACTAAATAGAGCTCGAGAGAATAGATTGTGGTTGTGTTGAGGAAACTTGACGTTCGAACGTTGTGCAGATGGATTGAGAAGGAAGATGAGAATGATGGAGACGCGGTGACGAGGGAGGCGCGCTACTTATACCAGCCTGCGAAACCCCAGTTGATCTGAAGTACGCGAAAGAGACAGAATTTCAATACGGTCACAGGCTGGTATGATCTGTATGATTAAAGCAATGTAAATAAGTTCAAGTACTACAATCACGAGGGTGAAGTCATGCCAAGACGGATGTAATAATTATTACACTGAAATATTACAGCACTTAACTTGATTTGGAACCCCAACACTGTGCTAGGCCACACAGATCGTAGCTCACATATGTAGCCAAGCTATTGGAGCGCTGGACCATGATCCTTTTGGTGATTGGCCAGCCCCGCTAAGCGAGAGGGTGATCTGAAGGGCGTCTGGGCAGGCTAACGTCACCCTGAGCGCGTCATTATAAATCTCCTGGCTTTCCTCGCGCTGACCACCCAGTCTCTTGGTTTACTTCAACGACTGTCCGTCTACTACACGTCCGCCGCGTCAATTTGAAAACCATCAACTCTATTAAACCACTACAACAGTTTAACCTTGACCACTTAATCAGACAAAATGACTGGAGGCAAATCCGGAGGCAAAGCCAGCGGCAGCAAGAACGCGCAGTCGTAAGACAACCCCGTTTCTCATGAACCCTCGAACCATGCTGACATCTCGAATTTAGGCGCTCTTCGAAGGCTGGACTTGCCTTCCCCGTCGGTCGTGTTCACCGTCTGCTGCGCAAGGGTAACTACGCTCAACGTGTTGGTGCTGGTAAGTCTTTTACCCGATTTAGCTCATCGTCTTTGTTCTTGCGGTTCTGACCATAATGCCTTTGTATAGGTGCTCCGGTCTACTTGGCCGCTGTTCTCGAGTATCTCGCTGCTGAAATCCTGGAGTTGGCTGGCAACGCTGCCCGTGACAACAAGAAGACTCGTATCATTCCTCGCCATCTCCAGCTTGCCATTCGCAATGATGAGGAATTGAACAAGCTGCTTGGCCACGTTACAATTGCGCAGGGTGGTGTTCTGCCCAACATTCACCAAAGTAAGTTTCGGCACTTGGGTTTCGTCTTGACTATATTTTCTAACCAATTTCCAGACCTTCTACCCAAGAAGACTCCGAAGAGTGGAAAGGGTCCTAGCCAGGAGCTTTAATTGTCCTATTTTTATTTCTTTCCTGTTCGGGTTTCTCAATCGGCGTGCTTTGGTTTCTCATGATGTGATAACGGGGTTCTGGACTGGGCACAATTATGGCTCTGTTTTTCATGCTTTGATTTATGGTTGTACATTATGCTCACGGGCATTGAATGATACCGACAGCTTTCTTAATGAAATTTGTCTTTTGAAGACGACGGGAATCTCAGTAGATCTTATGCTAAGTAGATTTAAAGGCCTGCCTGCAGCTTCCGTAGTTCTTACAATACGCCACTCAAGCATTTCAGCGCTTTCCCATAATGTTCAAAGCAACGTCCAGGGTACAAGTTGCGAGGTATGTTACTGAAACGCCATGTCTATCTTCGAGTAGGGAACCCATTGTAAACTCGTCTAATTGACGCAAATATATGGATCTGGTACGCCATCCAACCTTAGTGGGCATCTGCATGTTGAGAAGCATCTAAGACGTATGTCAATCGAGGCAAAATCGACAGATCAAATGGTGTAACATACAAGGTAACTGCGGAGCAGGAAGGTTTCTCTCATATTTACTGCCTGGAAGACATTATCAGTCAATTGCGCATGATGCAGCCCTTTTTCTAACTTATCAGACTTACCACCAGGGGCAGTAGGTGCGCGGTACGGATCCGGGTGTTTCCATGTTTCCAGTAATTTCTCAGTTTCGCGGAGTAGCACCTGCCATATTTGTTTGTATAAGCTGATGACTTGGGGTTGTGCAACGGCCAGACGGTTGCTGGGGCCAGAGGGAGTTTACTCTTTGTTGACGAGGATCACGGACGTCCTTATTTGCCTCAAACAGGGACCGAATATACACAGCTTGTCCTCTCCATACGTGTCTGTGAACTGCCCAGTCAAGGGCAAGCTTGAGACTCCGTCGGTAGAGTGACCTGAAAAGCAAAGTTCAGGTTAGCAACGCAGCCTATTCTTCCTTCTGAGAGCAACTTACGCAACGGCGGTAGCAGACATGACTTCTCTCTGTCAAAGTCGTACGGGAAGAAGACCCTGAGACCTGGCAGACCGACCGCAGAAAGAGAATGCTAGCTGAAGAACAAATTTGTAAATTTCTAGTGATTGTTCGCAATCCTGTCCACTCACTATAGGGCAGTTTCTCTTGAGATGCGTACCTAGTGAATTTGATAGGGTGCGCCGAATCTGCCATGTTGGTCTTTAGGGAAAGCCGAACAAGCGTAATAATAATACTCCGTCATCCACCCGGGCGCATGGAACGCAGATGATGTGCGTGTGTTTGCTGAGGGAAATTCCGGTTCTTTCGGCCCGGGGCTTGAGCTTTCGTCCCTGGTACTACGCTAACTTAAAGTTCCATCACTCTGCTATCCTGTACCTTCGTACTGCAACGTCGAGTGAAGACGTATTGAACAGGTCTTCAGTAGGTTATTCTGGGGCCATAGGTTTCCTCTCTACTCGGATCAGACAATCGTGCCAGATTCTCCTGCTCCTTAACTTCTGTTTACTACCCAACCAAATCGGGTGAAATATGGCGTCTAGGTTACCATTTCACCGTCTGTCAGAGCTACACCTGAGGTCTATTCCTCGAACGGCTCAATGCTCCCGCTTGCCTTGCATTGGTGCTCGCAGGAGTATTACCTCTTTGGCGCTTAGAAGGCATAGGACTGGCGCGGTTTTGCTGCATGCTCCGTCCTCGGGGTAAGGACATCGGAGGTTGACGTTCATTTATCTGCTCTGGCTGACCGTCGACATTCCATAGAGCCAATATACCCGGGAGCAGTCTCGCCCGCCTCGGAGGCCATCAGATCAGAACTTACGGTATCGCAATTTGCTTTAGTTTCTTATGACGTTCTTCGCTGATCTCGCTGCAGCTGATACCATAGTGAAGGTCCCTCAGATGGCAGAATCGATCACCGAGGGTACATTGAAGCAATTTTCGAAGCGTAGGTCTCTTGGCCAGTTTGCAAATCTTTCACTTACCGTTCGGCAGAGGTGGGCGATTACGTTGAGCGGGACGAAGAAATCGCTACAATTGAGACAGACAAGGTAGGGCTGCAGCGAATGTCACATACCGTCCACATTGCTTGAAAGTTTTGCCAACCCATTACAGATCGACGTGTCGGTCAATGCTCCTGAGTCGGGGACTATTAAGGAGCTCCTCGTGAACGAAGAAGACACTGTGACGGTTGGCCAGGATTTGGTCAAACTCGAATTAGGTGGCGCTCCTGGGCCAAAAGAGGAGACAGCTACTGAAAAGCCGAAGGAGCCCGCAGATGTCGAGAAGCAGCCTCCTGCAGAGTCCAACAAGCCACAGCCATCAGAGACCCCCAAAGCTCCATCGCCTCCGCCTGAACAGCCTCCTACTTCCAAGCCTCAGCCTCCTGCTCCTAAGTCAGAGACTACTTCTGACGTTAAACCGAGCTTCGAAGGTCGTGAGGAACGTAGGGTGCGTTTACAGTTCCCTTCAACATCTGTGTTGTCGCTCTGACACTCGCTAACTCGCGGCTCTTCTGTTACTTCTTGGGAATAATAGGTGAAAATGAATAGAATGAGGCTGAGAATAGCCGAGCGCCTGAAGCAGTCCCAGAATACCGCTGCCTCGCTCACTACCTTCAACGAGGTTGACATGTCATCCCTCATGGAATTTCGGAAACTCTACAAAGACGATGTACTGAAGAAAACGGGTGTCAAGCTTGGCTTCATGAGCGCTTTTTCTCGTGCCTGTGTCCTAGCTATGAAAGATGTGCCCGCCGTTAACGCATCGATCGAAGGCCCCAGTGGTGGTGATACCATTGTTTACCGCGACTACGTTGACATCAGCGTGGCCGTTGCTACTGAGAAGGGCCTTGTGACACCCGTCGTCCGTAACGCTGAAGGCATGGATCTCGTCGGAATTGAAAAGGCCATAGCAGACCTTGGCAAGAAGGTCAGTGGTATCATGCGACTGGCTTGCACCTTTTGTGACTGATATCTTTTTAGGCACGGGACAACAAGTTGACAATCGAGGATATGGCTGGTGGCACTTTCACCATTAGCAACGTAAGCAGCATGATTCATGAAGTGACAGTATCGTTGACATTGTTTTAGGGTGGTGTTTTCGGCTCTTTGATGGGCACTCCGATCATCAACTTGCCCCAGACTGGTCTGTGCTCTCTCCCTCGTTCTTTTCGGATCGAATTCTGACTTTCAAAGCTGTTCTTGGACTCCACGCAATCAAGGACCGGCCAGCAGTCGTGAACGGTAAAGTGGAAATTCGTCCAGTACGCATTGCCATACTGCCGCGATTTGATTGTCAGGCGCTAACGTTTCCAGATGATGTACCTTGCCCTGACCTATGATCATCGACTTTTGGATGGGCGGGAGGCGGTCACTTTCCTTATCAAGGTTCGTTGATTTTTCTTCGTTGTTTGACACATTCCGCTGATTATGGTTCCTTCAGGTCAAGGAATACATTGAAGATCCTCGTCGGATGTTGCTCGGCTAGTGGGCCTTTAAGTTCGTCTAAGGGTATCTACTGCTTCTCTTTTTTGTAAAATACTATCTTATTGGCCTTGGCATTCACAATACACTTTGTTCGGATCGCTGCCGAGACCCTTGTTTGGCTATCGGCATAAGTTATGGATAGTAGCTCGTGCGCTCAAAGTGAGAAACGCGCTATGTTGGTTGTAATCTTTATGGCAGACGTATTATCATCGCAGTCCAACCTTGGTTTTCAGCCCCTGTGTTTCCGCTCGGCTCAGTCCATAGAGCTTCCCTCTCTCGAGCTGTAACAGAACCGGGGGGTTCAGGCACCTCATGAGATCAAACAAGAACTCGATAATGATGGTTCCAAGTTGATGCGTAGGCAGGCGTTTCAGTGCGGTTTCCAGAAGTCCGAGCGGTGGCTGTAGGTAAGTTTCATACTTATCAGCCACTCGTTGCCAGTCAGGCTGTTTTTTGAGCGCCTCTGGTGCTTGGGCTATCAATTCATAAAATATGTCGGGCGTTGTACTCCCATGAGAACCATGTTTCTCAGACGCAGCTTTTAGCATGAGCTGGGCTGCAATATCGGCCCAGTTAGTGTTGGACAAATGGTCATTTGCGACGATGCACACGGAGATGAATGCATAGGCGATGGCAGGAAGGATGTCCAGTCTTAGTTGGGTACGGTCGTTGTTCGTATCAATGTGTGGTCTCGGGGCCTCGGGTTTCGAGTGTGGTGGGTAGACTTGACGTTCAGTCGAGATCGTAAATCCTTCCTTCTGCTCTCCGAATCCATGCCGTGATGATTGATTGTTTGCTGTTGTGCTATTATATTGATTCTGATTGCACGTAGTGATGAATTCGAGAAGCTGAAGCTTGATGCGCATGTCCTGGGAGATTGTCTCGGCATGTATCAGCATCGGTGTCAGGGCTGTGTGAGCGATAAACGACGAGATGGTGTCCATGGTCAGCACAGCCTTTGGTGCTTACGACAATGCTTGTATTCCAACATACTATTGACGCTTTGGATCAACCAAATGGTACTCTGATCCTTGCAGTGCCATCCCTTCTCTCCTTCTTGTGTGCAGAGGAACGTGTTGATGACAGTGCACAGCAGATAATCAAGTATAATTGTATCAACCTCGACCTGTGTGTCCGGATCTACCTTCTGGTCTTTCATCTGGTCCTACCTGACTTGATGAGCTGATTCACATTGAGGGCTTGATTGTTTGGGGTGTGATGTTTAATGGATGCGGGGAACAAAATTATGGATGACACCATCCATGTGACCATGACTTGATAGTTAACTAATTAAGGCCATTGGAGTATTCGCGTTGCGAACAGAACAAGTATAGTTATAGTTGTGATTATAAATCTGTCACGTATGGTTTGTTAGATGGATTTTGCTTGTAAACTGAATGGCATGATGATTGATATATAACTGTTGCTTGACCAGTACAGATTTACCATCCCGGTTATTATATATATACATATATATGTACAACTGGACATGGCGTGGGTCATATGTCCAAACATTAATTACTGTCACGTACCTCAGACATAGCATATGAATTGATACAATGTTGACTACCGAGTGAATCTACATCTTAGTGTACAGAGTAAATAGAAGCATTTATCACCTTCCAGAGCGAAAGCCGATAGTCTCTAGGTATTCAGAAAGGTAAAGCCCAGAACAACAACAACCAGCCTGTCAATAATGTAGATCAAGATCCAACATACATACCTGCCTTAGGGAGGTGCCTACCTCTCGTATATGCCAGAAAAGCCAGTAAGCCCATAGAGGCAATGGGCCATAAAAAGCAGATAAAGAGTTGTAACTGCACCTACTTATCATCATCATATGATATGACGTATTAGTGAGATTTATGCACTCCGACAAGAGCCTTTCCACCCATACAATGGTGCTCCGATGGCATCCGCATATGAGGTACTCCGTAATATTGACATAATGATGGGAATCTCCCGCGGCAGATGACTGCTCCGAAGGCGCCCATTCTAGCCATCACTTTAACATCATACGAGTTGTCCGAGTGGGATATTCTCTCAAATCTAACAGGCGATCTCTGAATGCTGAAAAGGCACATAAAGACAATCACACTGCTGAGAAAATTTACAAGGAAGCAGTCATCAATGGCTTGGTACTGTTCCGGCACCACAAATGCTGAGTTGATCGAGAACCTCTCCAAGGAAGGACTGATTAAACATGATCGAGTGAAAAAAGCTATGATGGGCGTGAGCATCACTTTGCTTCTACCGCTGCCACCACCCAGCATCCTCCACCCCAGTAGCCCAAGAATAAAGTCGTTCACTGCCTGAGATTCTGACACTGAAATTCCAAGGTTGATCGCGCCCATTACGCGCCCTCGAGGCCGTACTCCGACTCGCCGCAACCTATCGGACATGGAGCGACTATTTCGGCGCCACATATGCATGGCCATGCTTGCGAATACTTAGTCGACTTCCTCAAGCCGGGATCCCGGGTATTGGATATCGGCTCAGGATCTGGGTATTTGACACATGTTCTCGCCAATCTTGTTACAGATGGGTCTACCAATGGTGCCAGTGGTCAGGTTATCGGAGTGGACCATATCCCGGAACTTGTTGACCTGGCCCGGGCGAACATGAGCAAGTCAGAGCAAGGCCGCGCTCTCCTAAATTCCGGAAAAGTGAAATTTATCACCGCCGATGGTCGGCTGGGCTGGAGGGAAGGGGCCCCTTACGATGCAATCCATGTGGGCGCAGCGGCAGACAAGCTACACCCGGTTCTCATTGAGCAGTTACGTGCCCCAGGACGCTTGTTCATACCCGTTGATGCGGAAAATGATGATGGCACCCTACGTAGCTTTGGACTCGGTGGTGGACAGTACATATGGGTTGTTGACAAGAAAGAGGATGGCTCTGTTCACAAGGAGAAGGTTTTCCAGGTTAGCTATGTGCCATTGACGGATGCGCCGAAGTGATCAGCCCAACACCTTCCCTGATGTGTTTATTCACCTATCTAGTGATAATCTAAAACCCCTTGTTACGAAAGGAAGAAAAAGAAACTAATAAACGGGAGGGGCAAGAGGTGGAGCAGACAAGAATGCAGATTCACAAGGAGAATTGAATGCCGTATAACACTTCCTCATATCTGACCGAGTACATACACTTTGCTGTTCCAAATGGAAAGGGAGGCGGGATTGATCATATTCCAATAGGCGGGATAATGGTAGCGTGCCTTTCGGGCAACGCGAAAGTGCAAAGATGTGGGAATAAGGTAGACTGCAGGGTGAGCTGCAGGGCCAGTAGTATACGAAAGATGCTAACGGAAAGGAAAGCCTCGGGGAAAGTTGAATCCTTGACCTGAGAATTTGAAATGTGGCGCGCCTTGCTGGAAGAAGAATTGCTGGCCGCCGGCGGCACCAAAGGGGTTTCCCTGGAATGGATTTCCCCTCTGCGACTCGGGGTCGTTGGGGTCGTCGCCGTTGTCATACCGTGCTCTAAGTTCGGGGTCCGACAAAACTTCGTATGCCTCGTTTATAGCGGCCATCTTCTTCTCAGCTTCCTCCTTTGAGACGCCCTGGGAGACGGCTTTGTCAGGGTGATGCTGCTTTGTCAACTGCCGATAAGCTCTTTTGATTGTGCGCTCATCTGAGTCACGACTGACGCCCAGGACTTTGTAGTAGTCCTTATGCTTGGAGCGTTTCAACAACACATGTGCTTTCTGCATAAGCGTCTGGACTTCCTGAGATCCCGGGTGATGTTCTCTGGCTTCGTTGAGGGTGCGAATAGCGTCCTCGAAACGCTCCTCATCAAGCGCCATCTGACCATTGAATAGAAGGGCAGCCAATGAATGTGGCTTCAGCCGGAGAATTTCGGTACAGTAAGGAGCAGCCCGTTTGAGCATACCAACCTGTAATCAAGCATCCTCCAGTCAGCTGCGGCAAGTAGAAAGCATTATCCTCTGGAATCACTGACCTCACGGTAGGCTTCGCACGTCCGTTCAACTAAGGATGAGTGTAGATTGCTCGGGGCTGCAGGATGGATGTGGCCAGCGTCTTTCGCACTCTCGAAGTCGTCCTTAACCTCATCAAGCAAACCATTCTCCTCCCCAACACCTACAAGTAGGTTGACAGCGTTGTTGAATTTTCGTGAATCCATCGCTTTTTGTAATTTCTCCAGTCTCTTCATTAGCTGCCTTTCTTTTTTGTAAAGCTGAGCACATGCTTTCGAATCTGGGTCCGAATGCAAACATTTGCGAATTTGCGATATACCACGTTCACTGTCGCCTAGAGCATAGAATGACATTGCCGATATTTGCAAATGAGGCTCTATCATGCCCGGAGACAATTGCAGGACATGAACAAGGTCGCTGATACCTTCTTCCACTTCACCCTTCTCGAAGCGACAACGTGCCCGAGTTTGCCGTAAACCCAATGATGTGCTCGCCTTGAGAATCGCTGTATTGGCTCGACCTATACAATCGTCCCACGCACCCCGTTTCTCCGCGTCGAATGCTTGGAAGGCGGCATCGCGTGCCTCTTGGGTTTCTCTATACTCTTCCGAAAGCTTCTTGCCAGCTCTTTCAAAGTCATGCAGCGCACCGTCCCAGTCAGCAGTCTTGGCCCTGAGGCGAGCTCGTTGGAGGAGTGCGCTTTCAAAGTCCGGTTTGAGCTGGAGGACACGGTCAAAATCGTCTAACGCTTGCGCAGTTCGTCCAAGAGATAGATAAGCAGCACCTCGCTGAAAGATTGTGAGATAATTGCTTGGATCTCGCGAGACGGCCGCATCGAAGTAGAGCAGAGCATCGCGCGCAGAACCACTAGCAAGATGGGCTTTTGCCGAAGCGACCAGAGACGACAAAGGAGTATCAGTGGGTATCTCGGCAGACTGGAGGCCACAAGCAACGGAAAAACAGGCCAGAAAAACTGTGAAGAACTCCAAAGTAATGAGCATGTTGGCAGTTCAGCCCATAAGGTATCGTTGAGACCTATGGTATCACACGAGTCTCAGACAACAGCGCATAATAGAATTCACGCCTCAGCAGCACTTAACCTGCTTCAAGGTGTGAGCTGTGAATAAGTCAGGTAGATGGCTTGAACTATGGAAAATCGGAAGAATGGCAACACAGCAACAGGACCTTGAAAGAGGTCGCTAGGCGAGTTACATAGTGAGGCATTCTTTATATACAATTCGACCAAGTTTCGTAGATATTCTATCATCTGAATATGCTTAACCTCCAGTCTGGCCTTTACAGACCCATTACAGAATACTGTATTGAAATTGTAATATATTCACGTGACAAAATCTGGTGGATAAGTATATCAAGTCCTAAATACACATACAGAAATCCGCAAGTTTGAAGGCGGCAGTTCCCTACTTAATCAGTGTATAAGGGTCGCAGCTCAGAAGCAGTGTGATTGAAAAGTTACTTACTACCTGGTCTCCAAAAGAAGGTGTTTAATCGAGCCAATTCAATCAGGCATAGTTCCATCACCTAGCCCGCACTTCAGAACGCGCCTCAAAGCATTGAGATTGGGCTCTTTCTTCCATACCACCTTTTCTCTCATATTCAACTCACAATGATTGGCTTCTCATGGATATGCTCTCGATGCCTTGCACGAACTGCTCGAACCACATTGAGCCATAGGGCCATCTCACAACCGCGGAACTTGAACACGAGTAGGGATACTTTGACTGCTACGTAAAGCGAAGGGTCTTCCGCATACATATGGGCTAATCTTTCCATCAGGTTCTCATCTCTCACCAGCATTACTAACCCGGGCTCGCTCCTTGGCGGCTGAACATACCAGGCTTTCCACCCAATTGACAGACTCATTTGACGCAAAGATTGCGAAGCGAGTGGGCGAACTTGCGTCAATCGCGCAAGCCTTGCAGGACTGGGATCGCGCGCACGAGGCAAGTCGAAAATGAAAGATTTGCTTTTTCTCGTGAATCTTGACTAACATGATTATTCTGGTCTCAGACCCTATCGGAACTCAGATCCTTGATTGATGATTCAGAGACCGACGATGAGCTAAGATCTCTTGCTCTCGAAGACTTAAAAAGTAGCGACCGTACTTTGCCAGCCATATCAAAGACCCTGAAAAAGTCCCTTGTTCCTCGGCACCCCTTTGCAGATCTTCCCTGCCTACTCGAAATCCGCCCTGGCGCAGGTGGAGACGAAGCTGGCCTTTTTGCTTTCGAGCTTTTGAGGATGTACACTGCATTTTGTACTCGACGTGGCCTACGGTCCAATGTGATCAAGCTCGACGTGCAAGACGGGCCTTCAGATGATCGCCTGAGCGAAGCAGTCTTAGAGATCGACGCAGACGGAGCGTATGATCTTTTGAGAACTGAGTCTGGGGTCCATAGGGTGCAGAGAGTGCCGGCCACGGAGACCAAGGGTCGTACCCATACAAGTGCGGTCAGCGTGATGGTTCTTCCCAACTTCCCAGAGGCAGGGGCCGGTATGGACAGTGCTTTAAATTTCGACGACCCAAACAGTGACTACTATGTTGATCCCCAGGAAGTCCGCACTGAGAAGATGCGCGCAAGCGGAGCCGGAGGTCAGCATGTAAACAAGACCGAGTCAGCTATCCGGTTGACTCATATACCCACTGGAATTGTCGTTTCAATGCAGGATTCCCGGTCTCAGCACGCGAATCGGAAAAAGGCATGGCAATTGCTACGAGCAAAATTGGCTGAGGCTAGACAAGAAGCTCGTGAGCAGGAACTCGTTGAGTTGAGAAGAGGTGTTCTTGGAGGCGTCGCTCGGATGGGTCGTGGTGACAAAATCCGCACATACAATTATGGACAGAGTCGTTGCACTGACCACCGTAGCGGCATTACAGTGCACAATCTGGACAATGTTCTTGATGGCGGCGAAAGTCTTGAGACTGTAATGGATAGTGTCAGAACCTGGCTGGCTGATCGGGAGATAGCAGCCATATCTGCAGAAGATTCGATAAATGCCGTCGGGGAGTAAAGTTGTCCTTCACATTAGCGCCGAAATTGATATTAGCCTGCACGATCATCCTCAACTAACTGTTAGGTATTGGCCATCGGTGCGGTGAAACAAAGTTCGCTCCAGTCTGCCAACCTTGAACCCGATGACTCCGCTTCGATAATATATACAACTAAAGCATCAACTACTTATATAGTGTTCCGGCGTCATATGTATTTCCTCTCAGGATCGATAGAGTCGAGAGCCTCCATTGTCTTCTCATACCTGGTTGTGATGAATTAGCACCCGAAAGTGTGGACGAGAATGACTTATCGCAACGAACATTGTGAACACTATTCCTCCACTCATGATCAATCTTACTAGACGTGGTACAGCTCCTGACCAGAAAGTAAGCAAGCCTTCGTCTTTGAAAATTCGCGCGGCGCAAACGAAGCTGTTTTTGTAATTTTTACTGGCTTCGAGCGATTGCATTCTGCTGAGGGGTCAATACCAATCTATAGGCGCAAATTTCAAGTTCTTAAAGGCTCACCTGGTTTTGACAGTGTCAAGAGGCTGCGTAACATAACTGCGTGGAAGCAATATTAGCATATCGAATAGTGATGGACACAGCTCACAACGTTGTCCCCCGGGTACAAAGGCTTGCGTACACTGTAATGAGGCCCGCTATCCCACCAAGAGCGAATGTACTGGCAGTTCCTAGCTTCTCGCCGGGTGCGACGTAGCCCTGAGCCAATTGTTTCAACATTGTGTAGCTTGAGAATCTGGTCGCCGAGTTGGCCGCCTGTCTCGCTGTTGTAGGAACGAAGCCTTGAAAAAAGCCCCGAAGGCCTCTTTCCTGAAAGATGATCTTACTGCCGTGCAGGAATCCACGCATACGAGGATTTGGGGATTTTCTATCGTCGATTCTGTTCCCCGTATGTCAGTTCCACCGCGCACGCTGGTAACAGTTTGTGACCCAAATATCTGGGGGTTTGGGCTAGGGTATTCAAGTGAGGTGACAACGAACAATTGCGTCTTGATGCTTTCGAAAGGAGTCACTGCTAATAGGGACTCTGTGAAGCCGGCTCCGAAACCGGCAATCACAGTTCTTGGACCGGATATATTGCCATTTTCATCCTGAAGTAGAGATTTGAAGGTGTCGAAGGCAACGAAGCCTTAAGGATATTCTAGCGTGAGTCTCTATCAAAAAAATTTGGACAATGGTAGCGGAGCAACGCTCGATGGAACTTACGTATGCCAGCCTTAAGAGAATTTCCTATGATCAAAGTCGTGCATCCGGCATACCATTGTTTTCCGAATGGTGGCCATGGAAGCTTTTTGGCATCGGGTAGCCTGCGATTGAGCTGCGATCGTGTCTTCGCAACTGCACAATTGGATTAGCCTGACATATCATAAAAGATGAGATAATCTGACACTCCGCTGGATAAGTTATCGCTGCTATGGAGTCAGCAAGGGTATCTTCAAGTAACGGGCGATTCCAGCAACAGTGAACTTGCCAATCTCAACCGCTCCCGCTGAAGAGCCCGCTATGATAGACCGCAGGCTGCTGGGCTATAATGAAGTCAGTGATTGCGCAAAACCGGGTGTTATTTTGACATTCCTGACCTTGGACTTGGGATCTTTTTCCGCAGTAGCCATTTTCAAATCCGAAGTGCGTTAGGGGCCCGTAAGCAAGAACTATTATTGCCGGAGTTAGGGAGAGCCAGTATCTAGAATACGGGATGCAACATATGCGCCAAACGCAAAATAGCCTTCTCCATTATCTATGGGGTGACTTGTGCTCCACAAGTTATTTATGAGTAACCTATATGATGAGTAGGTCTCCTATCCAATATACGTGAGAAGTATTCGAGAGCTCTGACAGAGGGAAACATTTACATTTTACTAGATGCTACCAATGTTAAGGCTATCATATACCCAGAATGGGTTGGTACCATCCAGCACTCCTCTGCCAACGTTTTTCTGACTTTTCTTCCCATTTTCTTCCACCCAAGTGGTCTCCTTTTTTCCTTTTTTTTTTCCTTTTTCATTTTTGTATGTCGGGAGTCCCTATGTGCGTTTTCCCCTCTCACACTTTGATCATCACATCCTCTCACCCGAGATGAACCAAGCCCTGCGACCATCTGAATCCTGCAGACCCAACCCTCGCTTGTTGGATTCCTAATCAGTATTTGATTTCTGCGTAGCTTTGCAGAAAGGTGTCCTTCAAAACAATGCGGCGAGAACGGAAGACAAATAAGTGGCGCAACTCCACCTTGACGTAAGATTGATGGAAGCTTTGGTATGCCGAGCCAGGGTGAGCACACTCAGGAGCCCTCATGCTCGCCAGGACACAGGTAATTTTGCGAAGACGGAATCCGAAAAGTAATCAGACAAAAACTCCGGAACCCCATCAGATGCACGTAGTCAGGTACGAGTTTGAGATCACAAAAGTGATCCTCGAAGCCAAGACGGACATGAAAGGGCTGAAACACGACTGGCCCATCAGAAGCTGAAATACGTCCCCGTAATCCTGGTTCACCTGACAAGTCGAAGCCAAAAATAAGCCGATAATGCACCAGTGCCTTGCGGGAAGACACCTGCGAACGCCGAAGGGTGACACCAATCGAAGAACACCTTGAAACGCCGACCCGTTGCTTTGGAACAATGGAAGGTATGTACAAGTTAAAAAAGAAGGGGTCGAGAAACCGGGCATAACTGGCACCGGATCAAGCAAATAACGGGATGCAGTGAAGGTAGAGGCCAAAGAAAAAGCCACATACACTACAATGAAGTAGGGCAAACCGTACGGACAATCCGAAAAACCCGCTTCTCACGGCAAAAGAGGAGAGAACGGCAAGATGTGCGCGCAGTAAATCAGAGGGAATAAATAGATCGCCAGAGCCAAGCAAATGAATCGGAAAAGGGACAGGAGGCCCCGAACTGCGGGAGGTCGAGTGCAAGCAAAAGGGAGCGAACCGATCGTAGACATTCAGGTCATTATTTCAAGCAAGTGAGAGATAACGACAGCGAAATCATGACACCGGCGCTGTTGAAGTCTTGCCACTGTGTTGGCCCTGATGGTGACCGAACTTGTTGGTTTCGGTTTGTGCGCTCCGGCGCTGACCCTGCCCCCGACCACGGTATGAACCACGGCCTCTATTGAACTGGTATTGCCCACTATTTGGATGATTATGATGGCGGCGGTCTGCAGTGCTCGTATTTCCCGGAGTATTCGTTATTTGACGTGGCTGTGATGGATTGGAGATAGGACGAGGAATTGTCTCTGGAGAATCATAAACATATAGCTTCTTGTCAATGTTCTGGGGAATGGGCTGTATTTCCGTTCCCAGTTCCTGCTCGATCTTGTATAAATTGAAGCGGTCATCCCAATTGATGAGATTGATGGCAAGACCCAAGTGTCCGAAACGACCAGATCGACCAATCCGGTGAAGGTATGTTTCGGCATTCTTCGGGAAGTCGAAATTTATGACAACATTCACAGCTTGAATATCGATACCTCGAGTGAGCAAATCGGAGCAGACGAGGTTGCGACACACACCATTGCGGAAGTCGTGGAAAACTCGATTTCTGTGTTGCTGGAGCATTCGAGCGTGCGAGTAGAAGCAAGAGTAGCCCAGCTCTGTAATCTTCTTCGCAAGAAGTTCAACTCGGTTGGTGGAGTTGCAGAAAATGATCGACTGGTTTATTTGAAGCTTTGAGAATAGGGTGTTCAGGCAGTGGACCTTCTGTTTTTCCTCCACAAAAGCGTAGTATTGGGTGATTCCTCGGAGAGTAAGTTCATCCATAAGGTTAATCTCATAAGGATTGCGCATATGTTTATCCTTTATGAAGCTCATCAGTGGACGGCCCGAAACGAACAAAAATAGTCTCGCCTTACCTTGAATGATTTGACAATTAACGGAAAGGTGGCACTGAAGAGCATCACTTGTCTGTCTTTTGGGTGAAATGATAAGAGCTGCTCAATGACGGGTGTAAATTCAGGCGACAGCAACTTGTCAGCTTCGTCCATGACGAATGTAGGACACTCCGAAAGATCCGCAACGCCCTTGCTGGCCAAGTCCAATACTCTTCCTGGAGTCCCTACGAGAATGTGCACAGCGTCGTTCAGTCTTATGATATCATCCATCAAACCCGTCCCTCCGGTAGTGACCATGACGTTGATCCCCAGATGCTTTCCAAGAGTTTTGCAAACTTGGGATGTTTGGAGCGCAAGCTCTCTTGTTGGTACAAGGATAAGTGCTTGAGTCTTTGTGCTTTTAGGGTTGATGCGTTCCAGAGTAGGGATAACGAAAGCTGCTGTCTTGCCGGTGCCGTTCTTTGCGCGAGCCAGAATATCGCGGCCTGTAAGAGCGACTGGTATTGTTTCTTCTTGGATTGGAGAAGGTTTCTCAAACCCAGCCTCAAATATGCCCATCATAAGCTCTCGTTTGATATAAAAGTCTTCAAATTCAAGGCCCTTAGTGGCGGTCACATCCTACAACTCGGTCAGACATGATGCACATGCAAGAGTGACACCATTATTAAGCCACAAACCTCAGTCTGCGGTCTTGCGTCTTTCGCAGGCATATTCAATTGTTCTTTCCACCTCATTTCCGAGTTCGCTTCCCTGTAGAGGGCGTATGAGTTGAGTTATCTCGAACTGAAGACAGCTGCCACTTGGTAACAGGAACATACCCTAAGCTTGTGGTGTTGAGCTGATTTGCAAGAGCGTCTGCCATGATGAGCCAGAAGTAGGAAAAAATGAATGTCAAAATTTCCCGAGTCTGGACAGAAGCGGTAGGCCAAGTTATTCCAGGAATAAGACACGTGTTGTTGCAATGGAGTGTGAAAGAATGTTTGATTGGAGAACCAGAATAGAAAGTCCTCGAAGTTGTGGTTTCGAATCTTGAGCAGCTCCCAGAGATTTAGAGGTAAGACTTGTATCAGAGTAAAAAAGTCTGCGTTCCTATTCAATCAATACAAGGCGAGTACGGTTCCAGTTAGCGAGGTTATAAGTCGAATTTTGTTCGAATCCCCTCCAGGCGTAGAGACCACTTGCACGCAAGCCGATGACGGGAACGAGGCTTGGAAGCTCAAGGTCTTCCGGGGTGAACGAAGATTATCGAGAAGTATGGAAAGTTGAAAAGACGGGTGTACGGAGGTCGATTGGATAGTGGAGATCGAGATTAGAAGCCCACAGACAACAGGACTTGAGAAAGGCAGATTTTAGATAGATATAAGAAGCAGTCACTGCAGTAATGCGAGGTGAATTTATTGGGATGTGGAGGGAAAACTTCTGGTGTGAGTAGAGACGTACAGGGAAGTGAATAATAATGGAGATGGTGCGATGACCACTGACCAGTAGGTGATGAGTATGGCCCTTGCCGCCTTCGAAGGGTCCACTACCATACTGAGCAGTCAAAGTAGCTAACCAGTACCTGCCTACTCACTGCTCGAGTCACTATCTTCTACAACCTGGAAATGGCTTATCGCTTTCGAAGAGCACAAAGAGCACAAAAGGGGTCGTCTTTATGCACATTGCACATTTGAGCTACAATAACCACGTAATGTAATGCTACTGAGCTTTCTTCGAGTTCACCTTGCTGGACATTTTCCTATCTCGAATCGATTTCTATTCAGGAGGGTATATCTAAATCGGCGCTCGGAAAGACGATGAAACCAAAAATCGAGACAGACCATTTAAACTCCTCCAAACAAACGACGGAGGAATCTGTAATTCAGGCATTTGATCCTGTTCAAAATAGAAGCCTCCTCTGGCCACGTTCGGGCTCCGCCAACCTGCACATATCCATTAGTCACAGCACAACACTATTTTCCGTATGCTGACGTACTCTTTTACTCGAACATCCGGAGCCAGGGTGATTTCAGCTCTAGAACCCGGTGTGATAAGTATGAATTGTCGCCCAATGGATCGCCGGGCAGCGAGCATCTGCCATGAACAGTTAAAGTAAATTCAGTATAGTTTGCTTCGCAAAGACAACTCACGAGCATATCAATCGCCATTTTTCTGTTGATATGATCCATATATACGTCACTGTCAAAATATCAATCAGTCAATGAGAAATATAACAGCACAGCGCTGACTTACAATTCATCCAGGCAACGGACTGGGGATCCCATGGCCTCCCACAGCGCCAACAAGAGACAAACTTGCGAGAATGATTTCTCGCCGCCGGACAGAGTCTTCGCACCACGACCGGCACTGTCCTTTGTTATGTCAGGTTCGACCTAGGCAACTTGTCAGATCCAGTGACCATGCTCAACGGTACTCAACATCACCTGCCTGTAAATCGAGGAGCTTGCCATTATGATCAGTCAAGAGTCGACCGCGAAAACTTCTTTCGCTCAAGAGGTATGTAAATTGAGCTTTGGCACGAGACGAAATGTGCGACCTGAAGATGAGCCAACGAGCTTTACGGTGTCTCAGAGTCGCTTTGAGAACCTAGACAAACGGTCAGCAAAGGGATATGTTCGGCTGGATGTAATCATCCTACGTCAGCTAGCAATCTAAATTCCTCAATTTGCTTCGTCGCTTGTTGATAGGCCGCAGTAGCCCTTTCCACTTCAGCAGCGATTTCATCACGGGATCCTCCGAGTCTAGTACTCCGTCAGTAGGACAGTCAAGAAAATTCTGG